GGACAATCACTCATATGATAAGCTCCGCTCGACAAAGTCGACAGCGGAGCTAAAAATGGGAAAACTCAAAACGTAATCAAAAACTGTCTAAAAAACAATCATATAATGAATAACTGATATGCTAAATACCAAAATGATATTGACATTGATAACAACATCAGTTTTACGCACTTTTATGTTTTAAGATTGTTCTAGGAATTATTAGGAATGCCAATGAGTAGGAATGCCAATGAGTAGGAATGTCAATTCAATTGATGCATGTAGAAGTACAGTGAAGTCTACTCAGACTGTCCTGCAAGAGGTTATATAAATTACATTATGTACTACTGTAGAATACTTTATTTTCGTTTGGAATTAATTTTCGCAAATTTTCGCTGAAGGAATGATTCGAATATACCTTTTTTCCTATCTTTTACATTCAACTCGCCAAAAATCAGTGAAAATAAATTCCATATAACACACATAACAAGTCATTTCAACGAAAATTAATTCCAGTGAAAATAAAGTATTTTACAGTATATGAAGACAACAAGCGAGCTCATGTCATATGGTTTTAAAGGGTGGTGGTTGTTGTGCAGTGTCCTGTTTGATATGGGACTCACTTCTTGTTTGTTTACATAAAATTTGAACATGCACTGTGTGACCATCGCCCTTTAAGGTTACATAAAATAGAATAAGTCATACTTACAATTGGATTGCCCAAATGATAAACCAGGTCTAGGTAAAAAAAACAAAAAAACAAACAAAAACAGTTAAGATTAGAAAATAAAACACAAACTTTGATAAAGTCAAAGCAAATATAAAAAAATATATTGAGGCCAAAAAAAAAAAATGCATTACTGGTAACCCGATTTTTCAGGTCGGCCCTGTATTTTTTTATGGCCAAACTAGAAAACGGGCACTTGTAGCTACACTTTTCATCTCTACTTGAAATTTTTCATTTTTGAACCAAAATGTCAACCAGTACATGCACGATGTGGTGTAGTTTTGAAAAATACTCTTATATATATTGTATGGGCCAAGCAGCACTGTGGAATAATAAATTGGGAATAGATGTACATGTAATTAATTAATTTTCATGAAATAAAAAGTCATGATTAAATGAATAGTTATTCCTACCTACAATTACCTATTAACCTACTTTTGTTATCAATGTTACATGTACCAGAAACACAATATTAATTTTATTTGATCTGATGGATACAGCTACTGAAAATGTCAATTACAAATTATAAAATCGGTAATCTTAAAGTTGTGTTATTGGATAAAAGTCAATTCAATTGTGAGTAACAGAGTACGGTATGCGAGTTATACTGGCCGAAAACTGACGTATTGCACTTCAGAGGTCGGTTAACGCACTTTATATAAACTAATGGATAATGGCTATTATTATACAAATGTACATCTGTCACTGTAACGCCATAAGTTACAGTGTGCCGTAATTTTGCGGTATTTTACGGGGTATTTCAATCTACCATATTAGGAAATGCGAATTCTAAATATGGAATGATTACGCGCGTATGCGTCCTCTAATAATAAAAACAAACATGGCTGCCACCAGAGTTTGATCAGACTCCACACAAAAAAGTTGATTCTGTTCTAAACTTTTTGAATTTCGGCATTTCCATGGTGTATCCTTGGAAGGAAAAGATGTATAATAATAAGGTTAATAACCTAATATTATAATTCACATACATGTATGAATGGACTCAAATATTGTTCAAAATGCACTCTTTTTACTATTTTTCAACACATAAATGAGTTGACAAATTTGGAAGTATACATTGTACTTGTTTGTTGTAAATTAACATAGTGTATGAATGAAAGCAGCCAATGGACAAGTTCCCCAAGAAATATAACTGAGTGGTAGAAATCAACGACTGAAAGTTGCTCAACCTTTTTTTTACAAGTTCTGTCTGAGAGCTAGTAAACTTAGTGAGTACATTTTTTAAATGTACATGCGTTAAATCATGCATGACTGTACAAAAATGTAGGTCCAATAATGAGATTCAATTCGAATTTGACCTCCAGTATTATGATTTCATACAATCAGAATACCCAAACAAGCAGCCTCTCGGCTGAGATAGCTCCGCTGTTAGCAATAAACATTTTAATTAAAGAACAGAAGATATCATTAGAAAATGAACAATATGCATAGTATCAATGCAATGGGACTTGCTGTTTTCAACAAGAATTCAAAAATATCATTTTTCACCATAAATGATTGTGGTTTTTAACAAGAAGTCGAAAATATCACTTTTTACCAAAAATGATAAAAATATTCACCAAAATTAGAGAATTAAAGATATCATTACAAAATGAACAAATCTGAGAGAGGTCCACATGTAGTACCTATATATGTAATATCAAAGCAATTGGATTTGCGGTTTTTAACAAGAAGTTAAAAATATCACTTTTTACCAAAAATGACAAAAATATTCACCAAAAGGAGAGAATTAAAGATATCATTACAAAATGAACAAATCTGAGAGAGATCCACATGTAGTACCTATACATGTAGTATCAAAGCAATTGGACTTGCGTTTTTTAACAAGAAGTCCAAAATATCACTTTTTACCAAAAATAATAACAAGCAGCCTGTCGGCCGAGATAGCTCTGCTGTTAGCAATGCACATGGCAATTAAAGAACAGAAGATATCACTAGAAAATGAACAAATCTGAGAGAGGTCCACGAGTAGTACCTATATGTACAATATATCAAAGCAATTGGACTTGCGGTTTTCAACAAGAAGTCAAAAATATCATTTTTTACCAAAAATTACAAAAATATTCATCAAAATTAGAGAATTAAAGATATCATCATGAAATGAACAAATCTGAGAGAGGTCCACATGTAGTACCTATATATGTAATATCAAAGCAATTGGACATGCGGTTTTTAATAACCATCTTGAATTTTCAAGGTGAATGTTCCGGCGAAGCACTCCACTATCACCTTGAAGTATTTCATTAGGAATATGTGTATGTGACAATGCCCTCACAGTTTGGAATCAGTTTACCAACAGCCAATCATATTGCTTCTTTCATCAACGCGCTTGACCAAGCTATCAACATTGTCGGGGCGGAGCTAAGTCACAAGACGCTATTAAAGACGCGCACCACTCTACCATGTATTTCTATGGGCTCTGCGCGAGCTGCTGTGGAACGCCGGTCAAAAATAGCTAAAATCGAAAAAACAGCACAAACTTAACTTTAAAGAAATCCTAAACAACCAAATTTAAATATGTTGCATATGCAGGGTAATCTTGTTACACGGTTCAGGGGGTGTCAACAACCATCCTAAAGTACCGTTTTCTGAGAGATTTTGGCCTTTGTTTTCACCATGATGGTTGCCAGGCGGTGAAAATGCTCGCACAGTGGAAGCTGTGTTGGCTTGCAGTGGATGTCGAGGCAATACAATATTCGGACAAAAGCCGTCCAGGGTACTTAGTTCCGAGTCTGATGTGTTCGTTTTTAGTCGCACTGGAAATGGTAAACCATTATGTTATTATGCTTTACCAACCTTGCCACTATTGAGTATTATAGAAGAGTATACCTCAAAGCTCATTGTGTCACTGCAACATATATTGACAGAAATGAAGCCGAAGATGTAGTCTGGTTCCCTGCCCAAGTTTTCACCTCAGCGTTGAAATGGGGCAGGGAACCAGACTAGCCGAAGATGAAGACATCAGAAATGCAAAGCCCCAAGCGCTTTTTGGTAGTCATTGTAACAAAGCTTTCTATTGGTCGGTAAACTTTCTATCGCGCAACCACGTGACATACACGGTTATGAATAGAATTACCGCACGGTGTTGTGGAGGGAGGAATGTTCGAACGGAGCATCACCGTGCAGGCGGACGATGATGTCTACAGATCAGCAACTGATTTTTTTCCATTTCGATAAAGATTTTAGACAGGCACTTTTAATGTTCTGGTTCTAACATTAGCAAATATATACATAACATCATTATTATATATATATCACATAAAACACCATAAAATATGACATATAAATAAAAACGTAAACGGCATCCTATATGACCTTTTTGTGTAACCTGATACAAGTTCACTGAAGGTCAGAAATGTTTATCTACGGGGGCTGTGATATGCATGGCTTGTTGGTATAGATACTCAGGCTAATAGAAAATAACTAAACTGTCCCCTAGTTCTATACATTGATAGATATTTCTGCTTGAGCAACTGACTCCCTGAACTACCGGCGTTTGACTTCGGGACAGTTCTGGTAGTTCAGGGTCATGTAACCTGTGGTGTTTCCAGTGCTTATGCACTATTCGACGATTGTAAAAGGGTAGATTTTTTGTCAGCTGTAAATCTCACCACCCCCTATCAAATAAAAAAAATGTGGGTGACCCACTCCATCATTATATTCCAAAACATGCTGACACTCCTCCTGAAAAAACAAACAAACAAACAAACAAACAAACAAACAAACATTAACAGTGTTGGCTCTGACATGATTACAAAATGTATTATATGTGCAGTGAACATATTATGGTTTGCCATAATTTTGACATAATTTTTAGTGTTTGCATATTTTGTAAGATAATAATCTAAAAATAATGTTTCCATGTTCTTGCCCTTCTCCCAGAATTAGTTATGTGATAAGTACTCCCATGACTCTCTTCATCACTTCCAGCTTCTGAATCATCACTATTGTTACTTTCACTACTGCTGTCTCCTTGGTTGCTTGAATCAGTCCCTGAACCACTATTACTCTCACTGTCACTCTCCCCATACCTGCTTGCACGGTGCATAGCATGTCGCCATGTACCTGCCGTCCTTTCTGATCTAGTCATGAATGTATAACAGCTATCTTCAATATTTTCAGTTCCAGAATTAGAAATATCAGTATTTCCTATCTCATTGACAACAATGTCATCCTCTTCAAAGTCTGTCTCATTTATAGAGTCAACTTCCACACTTTCAGAGAAAGATGTTCACTTATTTGTTTTTTTCTTCCTGTCATCCTTTTCTGCTTTCCGTAGAACATCACATGTAATTGCCCCCAGTTCATCTTTTTTTTTACCCATGCTTTGCCAATTTATTGTGATCCAAATACTTATTTAATTCTGAGATGGTCAGTGTTTTCAACCTTACTTTCATGATTATATCTAACCAGTCATATTCTTTACAAGTTTCTTTCTTGTCGATCTTTGCAAAATATGCATATTTAAAAGTTAAAAAAAACATTTATTTATTTTTTCATCATTTATTTTATAAATTTAACTTTTTTGATTTGCTGAACAAAAACTGTCACTGCTCTTTGTACTAATTGCTGTGTTGCATAATCTGTTAGTTATTTGGCAACTTCAACCCTAAAATATTTAGCCTGTAACTTGTTATAGTAATAGTCATTATTAAGAACACATTTGTACGATTAACTTTTTTATCTTTTGTTCTGAAATATTTTTTAAAAATATATGCATAAGCGCGTGTGTGGATTCTGGAAATTATGGTGACCCCCTATTCATGATATCAACCCCCCCCCCAGCAGAAGTAACTGTCCCAACCCTTACTACAAAAGTAAAATAAATAAATCATAAAACAAAAAAACATTTGTCTGTATATTGACTCGGAAGTCACATGGTGTGGTTTCCAACACTTTCCCGTCGTTCAAAAGTATTATAATATAATGTAGCTCGTTAACCAATCACAAGTGTTTTCTGGGTGTACTCCCGTCAATCATTATACGTTTATACAGAGCATATAAATCGTGACTTTTGCTTTCTGATTGGTGGAAACGACTCAGCAAGGTTAAAATTTCAGATATAGATGCTGTGCTCATTTCCAAATCTTGATTAGTGTCAAGTTGCATATCAACCTAGAATACAGCAATTCCGCGTACACCACCTATTTTTCACGATCAAAGATGGCATCTTGACATCTCAAAAACGTCCACCAGCCACAAATTCCTGGTATCAAAATCCAAATTGACGCATTCAAATTACAGTTGTGTCCCGATTCTGAGTTGACCACCAAACTGGTTTTATGGCGTCATAGTCAGCAGCGTTTAACTTGATGTAACCACACAACGCATTTCACACGTGTTGAAGAAAACACGACGCGGCGTGAAAACTGTGGCACTTCGATTCAGTGCAGTACAAAACTATATCTAGTGTATTTGTAGTTAGAGCATTACGATTGGAACATTTTGTTCAAAAAGCTTCCTCCTTCAATTACTACACTTCACGAGTTCACGCCCTCTAGTACAATGGGCACATTGAAGTTAGGAGCGTTCGTTGAGGGCGGGCTAACGTATTCGATGAACGATCGAGGTACTGTGTACTGGTTTGAAGAAATTATCTCGGGTAAGTACCTTATACTAACGTAAACGGTGGCCAAGCGGAAGACGTACTGTGGTATGAACCTAGCGATTTGGTTATCGTCGGTCCCAATCACGCACGCAGTACATGTTTACTTTCATTCAACATAGTATTTACCATGCCGTATATTCGGTGTTATTTCCCCCAAGGTTTAGCTGAAATATATCAGCATACAACAAGCGCAAACATGAATGCTATTGGATTCGGCCTTTTTAAATTAAACAATGGCGTTTTAAAATTTGTCTTGGATGGACAAAGATGCTGGGGTCTGACAACGTTGTCAGGTTAACCTGATTCACCGTTTTCTGATACCCCGCTAAATGAAATCGGTTACGTGCATACTAAACAAATCAATACGGATGTTGAAGCGTAGGAGGCGACCAATAAAATTCAATAATCTTAGCCAATATGGTTATGAAGTAATTCACGTTAAAAATAGACATTTTAAAAATGCGATTTTCACCCTAGCTGATAGACGATGACGGCTTTGTTAGATGTAATCACAAAGCTGG